CAAACTCAGGGAGGCAGCGAAGGACAGGAAGGCCTGGCGCAATATGGTTCATGGGGTCACGGAGAATTGGACACGACTTAACAACTGAACAACAAAAAGGGAATATCGTGCAACATATGGGCTATCGATGGGGAGTGGGACCCCCTAAGTGCTCCACCCATTCTAGGTTCTGATTGGATCTTTTTCTCCTTTTAGCAACTCCCATCCAGCAACCCGCAGGTGAGTTTCTTCTATTTCCCCTCCATTAATTAGTAGTTTTTTCTAATTCTCTCTTCTGAAGTCCCCAAGTCTTTTTTCTAAGATTTTAGGCAGCTTTTCCTCACAGGGATACCAAAATGCAGTGTAATAAAACACCATACAACATTAAAACCTCACACTGGAGCCTCCCTGTGCAGCCCCTCGGCTGAACTCGGACCCCCTTTGAGTCCTGGGAGCTAAGATGGGGGAGGAATCCCTGGTCCTTTGCATCCTTTTCCTCCCTCAAAGGAGTGGATTCTCCCTCCATCCAGGGCCTGCCCATCAACCACCCCCCTGCAGTGTGGGTCTAGGGAGGCTGAAAGGGAGGGGGAGGGGAAGCCCACCCTGTGTGTTTCCTGCAGACTCTCCAAAAAGAACTTATTCACACTGAAGGTTTTACTATATATTCTAATTTTCTTCCCCATCTCTTTTTTTTCACAGCACTCATGAGTTAATCCTGCTATCCCTTCCTGTTATTTGATGCAAAAGGATATTTTTTTCAATAGCTGATGAATTTCTGCCATTTTTGCAACCCTTCAAGGATGGAGGTTCAATGTGGTAGACTGGCGAGAGGAGAATTGCAGCAAAGACCTTCTCCTGCCGAAACCCACCAGCTTCCTTTCGCGGCCTCTGTTTCTTTTGAGGGAGGGGGAAACACGGAGGGGGTGGAGACCATGTAGTCTGACCCCAGGAACTCTTGGCCTGCTGGTCGCTCTAGACCCCCCCAGTCTCTCCTGCTCGGCACAGACCCCCGTTCAGAGCAACAGCTGCAACCCACCCACCTTAACCCGAAATCCATCAGGCGCTTAGCCAGACCTGGAGGCCACCAGATCCAGAGAGATCCAGATGTTCCACATGTACTAGCCACCGTGGGATCCCCCATTCCTGAGAAATGATCTCAGGGATCAACTGGTCTCTGCCCAGCAGAGCCCAAACCTCTTTTCCCTTCCTTGGATCCCCCCTCGTTTCTCCATCTCTCCCTGCTTTGAATGCACAGGAGCTTCATCTACGTTGCTATTCTCCTCTGGGTCACTTCCCTTGGGTTTTGTTTGATATAAAACAATGAACTTAGACTGCAGGAAAATCCTGGAGTGATGTGAGTTGATGCTGTCCGAATAGTCTGGCCTCAGCTCCAAATTCTCTCCGGGTCAGACCCCATTTAATCAGTTCCCTCCATCCCTGACTTTCTGATTCTTGGCAGAAGGGGAGACGTCTGCTCCTCTCTCAAGATCGGGGTGCTTCTCTCAAGCTCACGGGGGAGACTCTGAGGGATTGCAGGGTCACCAGGGACCCTCCCTGGCCAGGGGGTTGCAGTCTGAGGGGCTCCGTGGGGGGGTCCTTCAGTCAGTGCTCCCCCCATTGCTTGGCCAGCTGAGAAGGAGCCCCCAGAAGGCTGGAGCTGAGTCCTCATCCAGTGGCCGGAGAGCCACCGAGTTGCCCCCTTTTTGCTGGAGGTCAGAGAAGCACCAGATGGAGGCCATTGCAGGCCCCCAACTGAACGGCCCCCTTGGAGAAGGAGCCCTTGGGGGGAGTTGCTGTGGCCTGCCCAGGGGAGCCCCTCAGCTTCATCTGACCCTCTTCCTCCCTGGGCCTGAAGTCCTAAAAGGGGGCTTGGTCAGGGACTGGAGGCTGAGGGGTGGGGGTCAGCCCAAAGGCGGTCATGCCTTGCCAACTCCCCAGTCTTTCTGGAGGTAGGAAATCACGGCTGTTCCGCGTGTCCGCCGAGGGTGCCGTCCCCGAACTAGGAAAGCCGATTCCGGCCAGGAGGAGGATCCGGGCCCATCGCAGCCCCTTCGGG